CTTCATAAGGAAAACATTCCATTACGACCGATAGTTAGTAACATAAATGCTCCAACGTACCAATTATCTAAATATCTGCCAGCAGTTTTGAATAATGTATTAGGAAAGTCACAATATTACATTAAAGACTCTTCGAGTTTTTGTGATGGTGGAAAAATCACCGAAACGTATTTTAATTGACAAATAGAGACAATAAATGACCGGAAAAAATGATGAAAAAAATCTTTCAGTCCACTCCGTATCAAACCCCAATTAAAACGAATCCTCTTCGAAAAATTCCAGTTGAAAACAGCGTAGGAATGAATAGATAAAATATAATAGTGAGCATCCTCTGGCTTTTATTAACATTTCCGCCCGCTAATTCTTCGTGGGGATTGAGGCACTGCAATTTAACCAGATTGTTTTTTAAACAACTTAGTGCAGGCGTCTGGACCGGATAGCGTCTGAAGACACTTTTAATAAAATTCCAGAAACATCCTGCTGCTTAGTCAAAAGGGGCTGGCGCCCAACCTGTATGCAACATTTGAGAATGGGCTGGCTTACAAGTTCCAACCGGGATGCACCTTGACGAAGGAAACCGTTCGCAATAAGGAAATTTACACCTTGGTGGCCAAGAAGATGGCCAAGTTGCACAAGGTCAAAGTGGATGGAGTGAACAACCCGAAGCCATTCATCTGGAAGAAAACCCGGGACTTTCTGAACTTGGTGCCTGAGGAGTTTTCATCCTTGAAAACGCAAAAAAGGTATCAAAAGAGATGGACTTTCGAGAAACTAGTGGGTTTTCAGGCCGTCGTACAATAGAATTTCTTCCCGACGTTTCGCAAGCACGAGTGGCTTGCATCTTCAGAACACTGTTCAAGCAAACCACTTCTGAAGATGCAAGCCAGGAAGAAATTCTACCGAACGACTAGAACTTGAGGATGGGGCGCCAGCTTGCACAAAGCTGGTAAGGATTTTTAGGTGGCACGATTCGCACAAAGCTTTCGGTAAGTTTGGCATTACTTTGCCCCTGGTTGCCATGCAGATGTGGAACTTTTAGTCCAATATTATAGGGTTGTTTTCTATTATATTGTTGCATTCAATATTTCTTCGACGAGGAACGATGAGGCAGTTGCTGCGTTCTGGATCGGGATTTTCAAATTTTCTTATTTCATTTTTGTAAAACTAACTTAAAGTCAGATTTTGAACATTAACTCGCAGTTTTCTATGGCAAACTGTTTTTTTTACATAAAGTTTTACAGTTTAAATGCAAAATAAATGACGTTCTCCTGTGAACTGCACATTTTTTGTCGTGCAAGGTATTTTTGATCAATTATTAAGGTTTTTCTGTTATCAGCTACATTCGAAGCTAAAGGTTCTTGCATTCTTAATGGGGATTGCTGAGATTTACAAAATTTTACTTTTTTGCTTCGTTTTCCAACGATTTCGATGGTTTGGCGCATAGGTACGTCAGGTCACGTAAAATAGGAGT